TTCCATCAGTCAATAAAGATCCATCGGACCCGATCCATCCCCAAAACAAGCCTATGATGTCCATCAGCTGAGATGGGAACTCAGGACAATACCAAATATTTAACACTTCCAGACTGGCTATCACTAGCCAGATTTTGAGGTTGGAATAGAAAAATTTCAGCAGCCTGGAAACCTTCTTGACAGGTCAGGAGATGCCAGATCCTACTTTCTGGAGAAACAAACCAGTTGAACTGGGTAAGCAGGGAAGGTCTTAACTCTCATGGTGCGACCAATAACCAAGCCATTCCTCTATACTGCTTTCTGACTTTCTCATCAATTCTCCCAGCATTTCCAATAATTATGTTTTGTTGGTTTCAGCAGCAGAAAATGTTTAGAAATGGATAAATGAGAAATCTTGCTTGTCATCAGGGTCACCCTGTAACACCAAAGCTGTCTCTAGTTCTATAAACACACAGTTTACCTAAGCACAATGTTAAGAAACAGCAAAAAGCAAAGCCTTCTGAAGCTGAAGGGAGTGTAAGCTGGACTTCTCTCAGACTGGTTTACATCCCTCACCTCCATAAAGTGGAAAAGCACTCAGAAGTGGGGCATAATCAGGGAAGTAGCCTCCAGGGCAATCATACTGAATTTATTCATTAATTTATTTATTTTGTTTCATTTATTCATTGTACAGCATTTTTCTAAAGCAAAAAGCCAGCCACGCAGTGTTTTGCTGGTGCTGTGCACACAGGCCCTATGGACCAGCTAAGGAGCTCTCTGCCACTGCCTTCACAGCTCCAAGGAAGAGCTTGCCCAAGGAGCAGGGAGGTCTGCTGCCTCGCCTGCACTGCCCACAGGGCAGGAAGGCAGGGAGGAATGCTGCCCTGTGGCTTGGAAACAGGAGATGGGGAGATAGCAGCAGCTGCCCCTGGGTATGTGGGGTGAGGGAGCTCCCTTTTCCTCAGTCTTTGGTGACTCAGTGAGGACAGCCTGGGCTTTGAACACAACTTACTCAGGGTGGCTGTTCAGAGAGAAAAAATGTCATGTTCACTGAGGATAGAAGTGGTGTTTGAGCTTTTCCTGAAAGCACAGCTGTTTTTAACATAGCTGCTGTCCCGTTTCTGGTAACAAAATGGTCTAGGTCTTACAACAGGACAAGTTTTGCTGTCTGTTGGCCGCAAAGAAAGTGGCACACTTTCTACTCACTGTGCGGAATGCTGCATTTCATGCCTTACTTTACAGTGACCTCACTCACAGTATGATCAGAGCACTATGAAAAAAAATTTAAAAATCCAAACAGCCCTCTTAAATCATCTTCTATTTACATTTTTTGCTACTTTTAAAAGTAAATCTTGTGTGAAAATACAGCAACTCTACTGAGCTTTAGCTTTTCCTTCTGCCAAGGATGTAGCAGAAAAATTACTCCTAGTGAGGAGAGGCCACAGGGTCCAAGGGGAACAATATGTCCATTGCGACTCCCCCTCTGACATTTCCTTAGGAAGTGAGCTCTGCCAGCAGCTGCCAAAGGTAAACCCTACCATATGCCTGACACCACATCCACCTGGTTAACATATTAGGATCAAAACAGAGGAGACAGCACATACTAATGTACAGATATTCAAAGACAGAAAAAAGCATAAGGTTAGGAGGATCTCTGTGCATCAGCTATATTTAAATTTCAGATTAATATGCAACTGCAGTAGCACAGGAGCTCAGGGACCACAAGAAGGATGCATTACCTATAGAAATCACATGCAGTACTGGTGTTTAGAAGCCTGAGGGAGTTGGTTTCTGCAGTGATATCACACATGCCACAAGAAACTATTTCAAAACCACATGAGGTCTGACACCACAGCCTGTCCTCCTGCAGCTCAGGCACCAGTGTGAGTGCCTGGCTTTATTAAAACTGCAGACATCAAACTGGCTGCCACATCTGTCCAACTGTGTTTAAAAACCCCCTGACAGAAGAAGGTCAGCACAAACTAGGTTGGCTACAGCTCTGACTTTGGATGTGCTATGAGCACCAGATGCAAGTTGCTGCAAAGCCAGAAGCAGATGCGTTCAGACTTTCCAAAGGCTGAGCTTAAAGCAGGGCGTGAACTCAAAGCTGTGGTCTGAAAGAGGTCATGCTGCTTGGCTGTGCTCGGCTGGTCTGTCAGAGCAGCACATCTGTGCAGCCAGGGCTGCCAGAGGGGCACTGCTGTGGCTACTGGGAGCCAGGACACAGACACCTGCCATCCCCAAGACCTCCAGACCTCGGAATGTGGCCCTGCGCTTCTCTGTACCTGGGACATTAGGCAAAGGAGAAAATTTACAGAAACAAGACAGCAATGTGTTTTGTTAACCTGTATGGCTGGGAACAGGCTGTTTGTCTTGTATTTTCTACTTGAGATAACAGCTTTCCTCCACCAACTGCTTTCCTTGAGTTCTGGGTGTATTGGTTTGACTGTAACAAGCAAAATATAAACAGAAATTATTGGTTCTCAAAACAGTCTTCTTCTGCCTGATTTGCACTTTTGGTTTTCATCTTTTAAATTTTTTTTCCACCAGAACTTGTGCATATTCTCTTTTTTACAAATACTTGTGTATATATATATATATATATATATATATATATATATATGTTTGTATGTGTGTGTACAGACACACAAATACAAGTACTCATACACATATTCCCTAAAGCATACACTAGACTGCAAATGTTAGTTCTTTAATACTTGTGTATATAATATTCTGTTACAACTAATTATCATTATCAATGGCATATTAATTTTAATTTTCTCAGATTAGATTTTTAAATTCCTCTTCTTTGTAATTTCCGATTAGTACTAAAATACCAATAAATGTCCAAAATGCAGTGGGAACATTGCATGGGTCTTCCTCTATTCCTTTCAGTTCCTCTAGAGAAGTGAAATATCTTTAAAATGCTTGAAATGTTTCACATTTTGATTGCTATTTGTTGCTTTCTCCTTTTTTTATTTTGTCCTAGACTAATTCAGTTTTGATTAACATAAAAAAGTAGACTCACCAGGATTAAAATTTCAAAAAGAATTAATGCATGATTACGCATATTTCCTCTGTGAATTAATTCACATTAAATTATTAATTCTTTCTACAAGTCAGCAATTAATGAAAAAGTTTTAATAGAATTACAAATCTGAGAACTAATATATTGATTGAAAAACAGGTTACACAAAATTTCAGTATTCTTCTACCTGAGCCTTTATACTGAGAATCAGAGTTCTACTCTGAGAATCAGATTTCTACTGTAGGTTTGTGCAAACATTTTTGTCAGGATAGATCTACTTCTTCAGTTATTTACAGGCATCAGATTTCAAAGGGAAGCATGTAAGACAAATATGCAGATGTTAATTTAGGAATCGTCTTCTCTGCAAATGTTGGTCAGTCATTTTTCTTTTACAAGAATTTGTATTAAAAACAGAAGTAAAATAACAAACTAAATTTTTATCAGAACTCAGATATATGTATATAGCCAATGCTTTGTAATTTCTTTTAATTCTCAGGACAAGAATATCATGGTGATTTTTTGTAAGTTTGTGTCTCTAAATCTTTTTACAAACATTTTTAACACAGAACATTCATCTGATCACCACTGGCTTGCATTCCCTTGTGTCCTTGATCTAGATGTTTCCTGTTGATAAATCATTTCCACTGTGGGACTCTGAAAGCACCCCTGGGTGCTCCAGCTCCGAGGTCACATCAGTGTAAAGAGATGGGGTGTCCTTACTCCTTGGCCAGTCCCAGCTGCCTTGCTGCATGTCAGGCAGCCCTCCAGACCCTGGCTAAGTGTATGTTTGCACAAGGACCTCTTGAATTCCTCCTTCTACGGGTGACTCAGATGACAGGAATTCAGCCTTGCCGGAATTCATGCTCAGTTGCCTTTATAACTTATCCCACAATTAACTGATGCATGAAAGAAACCTGTTCTCCTAGCTATTCAAAATGTGGCTATGCAACATCAATCCCTGGACTTTTACTGTATCAACAGTCACCAGCACAAATTATTTCAGCTACCTGACTTGGATCATTTTGGATGGAAGTGAAGTCCCTCTGCATAAAAAAATTGTTTCATGCCAGCCTCTCCTATGAGCACAAATACAGATTCAAGGCAAATTTCAGAGAGTTCTTAAAATGTCATGGGACGCTGAAGTTTCTACATCCCAAGATGATGAGCAGTTATCTCAAACAGCTCTATTTTCTAAAGCTGAGCTTGTAGGAGTATTTGCTAAAAGAAGAAGCCCAACCCAAAACAGCGAGTATCAATATATTCAGATAATAAACCTGGGTCTCTTCCTTCAGGGCTAGATTCCTCCTCTCCTCCCAGCCTCTGCTTTTGTACAGTGCCAATGAATATTGTTAATATACTACACATCATAGTTAATTCTAGAAATGACTGCATTTCACTTATGAAAAAGAGAGTTATAGATTGTTACAGTTTTGTGTTACCTTTTATTGTCTGACAAAGCCCGACAGGCCTGTCCGTGCCCCCCCTGTTCGCTGTTCCCTGCTGCCCTGGCAGTTGTGCCAGCAATGACTGTGTGCCCGGCAAACCGGATCAGTGAGCCCATCTTCTAACTGGCTTAAAAGATCTCAAAAAAAAAATGCAAAACAAAACACACCCAGGGCTGCTCTGCTCACAAAGAAAATGCAACATGAAACTACAGCCTCCCTCAACTCCTCCCTCAAAGTAGTCTCCGTTCTTTGATGAATAAAATACACTGAGTTTTCTCAGTGTGGCTGTTTTAATTCTAGTTCGGGATGGAAAATGTCAGCACATCGGGTTCTTATAAAAGAACAGAAAATCCATTTCCTTTTTGGGGTCAATTAAACAATTGGTGCTCTTTCAAAGAAGCAAAACAATATTTTTAATGGCAAAAAAATGAAAATAGTGACTCTTAGTGGTATTTTTCAACCCTATACATTTTTTTTTCTCAAGACTTTCCTTTTTCCTTTCTTTTGTTTATCTTGTGGAGGGAAAGGAAAATCTGAAAATCCCCAAGCTCCCTATCAGACCTGCCTTATCTCATCTTGAGGGTTTCCTTGTCTTGGGCAGAGCTGAAGCTGGGCAGACGCCACGTGCCTCCAGCCACTCCCTTGCTCCTCCTGAGCAGCCAGGGACAGGAATGCTGACATCTCGCAAAGAACCAAGCACAGAAAGACCTGAAAATCTTCTCACTTGCCATCAGTGTGGCTCCTTGCATCAGTGGAACAGCACTCTCCTGTTCTGGATGAAAAGGTTCCTTCAGCTCTCTTGTTCTCCTAAAATAATCACAGGTTAACTCCACATCTCCACGTCCTTCAGAGTGTCCCTGTTACAGCCGCTCTCTCCCAGCCTCCAGTACATTTTTCTGCCTCCACAGAACTGTATGTCCCCTTACCCATTCAGCAGAGACCACCAGGCATCAGCACACCCATTTGCCCACTCCACCTACTCTTGAAAATAACTGCAGACCCTGGTAATTCTTCACTATGCCCTTAGGCAGAGAACAGAAAGCAGAGAAATGCCAGATGCTGCACATACCCACACCTTCCATCCATCCACTGGTCACTCAGGATATCCAGCATCCCTGAGTGGAACCCAGTCCCACTCTGCTCCCCCAAACTTCTTAACTTTGGGTAGCCGGTTGCCTGCCATGGCTCTGAAAAGATATACTGCAAGCTGAGGCACAGGTTCCTATGAATAATTTGCAAATCTGCACATCAGTTCATTCCAAAATGTTTGTAAGATATCACATGGGGAGTTGTGAAGGATTTAGCAGCCAGATAAGCAACGACAGCCTGCCTCCGCTGACAGCTGGAGCAACAGGACCAAGGAAACAGCTTGAGCCATCTTCACTCTGAACCTGATGCCTCCTCAGGTGTGGACAAAGCTTTTGGATGTGAGTGAAGCCCAGCACAGGCAAGGGTCAAGTAGGATACATTGAAATCCAAAGTAGGGAGTGCACTGGGCTCTGTTTTGCTTTAATTCCGGCATGCAGAACTTGTATTTCCACGGTGGTGATCCTTCAAAGATGCCCTCGCTCCACCTGGCCCTGTGTAAGGAAAAAAGAGACCCAAAGGTCAAGTTTTTCAATGTGTATCTCAGAACAGGGATTTCTATGTGAAAATGACAGTTTGGAAGTACATCAACATGGAAATGAGGATCTTTCACCTTCCAGTAAGAAAAAACATCTTCCAGAGAAATATTTAACTGCCTTTGCCTTCAGACAGCCATTCCAATGCGAATGAGGATGTGCTTATTTTGGCAGGACTCTCCTTGAACTGAGCTGTTTTGTGTGTGGTTAGGAGTGTCGGATGCAGGCTCAGTAATTCGCTAGTGGCTGCTTGAGGTAGGTAGTTCTTGGGAAGAGGCTGACTAGACAGCCAAAATGTAGGTCACCAGTGGGTGGAGTTCACAACCTCCCAGCTCTGCTGCAGTCAGTATGCAGAAGTTACATCTCTCACAGAATTTGAAATTATTGACGAAGCCTGAAAGCTGGACCACTAACTGTAAGTCCTTAGGATGATAATTTAATTGGTTACTCATTTATGTATGATGCTGTTCAATGTCCAGTCTGTTCCTGGATTATCTGCTAGCTAGGAGAATTTTCACGTGCAAGGACATAGGTGTTACTGTACAGTGTCTAAATGTACATGGGCATTTGCAGTTAATAAACAAGGCAGATATTGATAACACAGTTGAAGACCATTAGTTGCATTTTCAAAGTGTCTCCTTCCTATCACACTTGTGGAAGTTTAGAGCAATCTTTTGGCTCCTCAGCTCCAATGGCCATTTAACTGGCAGGGTTTTGCAGCAATCATGGGTGAGAGCCATGAGGTCTCAGGTGTCTGGCCAAGCATTCAGAGAGAGCAGTCAGGGGAGAGCACTAGTTTCTCAAATGACCCTTTAAATTCAGATCTATATAGCATTGTGCCAGTTTTTATTCTTCTTGCTGCACATATTTCAGAGAAACAAAAAAAACCCACCAAAAAACCACAAAAAAAACCAAAACACACACAAAAAGAAACAAACCAACAACCCTCAAACCTTAATAACTTTTCTAAACAAGAAGCCAGAACAACACACCCTTTTATGTTTGCACACACTCCATAGCTGCCTTAACTCCAGGCTAAACCACTGCTGGATATCTGCAGAATCTTAAACCTTAGCAAATTAGAAAATAAATATGTGTGCATGCATTTGAAACAGCACATTCTCCTCCAGGCTTTATCTCTCTGTAACTGCTGAAATTCTCTGACAGGGATATTGCTTGCAGTCTTACCACATGGATCTGTGGTGAAAAGGTTTCGGCAGTTTGCAGTGCAGATGTACCATCAGGACTGTCACCAGGATGCTTTGGAGGGATCTGTGAAAACCAGCTGTCCCTGGAGGAGATTGCTGGAGGAGCAGAGGCCTCCTCTGCATGTACTGTCTGCACAGACATGGGGTTACTGCATATGGACCTCTGAATATCGTCATATGGAATATCAGAATTACTTCCTGAAATCCGGTAGCTTCAATCATCTCTGCAAACAGGAAAACTGACCAGGCTAGCTGGAAAGTGGCCAGAGTGATGTCTCTGGGAGGTGTAATGGTAGGACTCATGAAACAAATCTGGTGGGGATATGTGGTGCTGGAAGTTAAAGCAAGACTTTAATTCTGACCAAATCTTGGGGAAAAAAAAAGCTTTTGCCATACTGTTTCGTGTTTGTAGTCTTCTACCATGTGAGAAAAGGGTTAAAGATTGTACAAAAAGATATTTCATAGAAAGAAAGCGCTACTGGCACCACCAGCAGCCCTACATCAGGATACATTCTGATGTGTATACTTGTCCTTGCTGCTGACTGTGAATGGTCTGAGTTAGGCACAATCATTTATCAGAGCAGCCCCTTTGAAGGGCAGGGATGTGCAGTTCATGAGACCAAAGATGGAAATAAAATAGCAACAACGTGCCCAGCATAGGCTAGGCAAAGAGGGCACCTAAGAACAGGTTTTTGCAGGTAAAAACACCTGCATCCCAGAAAAGTAGATATTGTGGGATGAAGCAGGTTTGCTGTCACTTGCATCCAGGTGGCCAAATTCCACCTGGGTCGCACATCAGGCATCTGATTGCTTTTATGGACTGGGCTGTGTAGAGAATTCACACAGGAAATCTGAGAGAGTGTGGGAGATGTGTCTCTCATTTTCCAGCTCCCAGTTCAGTGCCTTAACCACAGGTGCCACCTCTTGCAGTGGCTCTGAGCTCATATGGATGCTGGAGTTCTTCCAGCACAAAAATTAGCAGCAATACCAGAACGGAAATAGGCCCTTCCAGCACAAAATAAACACAAATAGTCCATAAATGCTAATGATACAATTTAAGTGTCACTGTGTTCAGCGAATTCAGCCTCTCACCTCCAAACGCTGGCAGCTGAAGTTTCTTTTGTCTAAGATCAAACACTGATTATTTTAATGGACTTTGTCTGAGTAATCTATTTTAACACTATGGTTAATATCTGACAATTATGCTAGATTAGCATCAAAGACTAATGGAAACACTGAGGTAAATGTATTCACAACAGTCACCATGTGGTTCAACATAAAGATGTTTGCTGTCAAAGAAAAGTTTTCTAATATAAACAAGTATGTTACTGTTAAGACTGCTGTATAACATCTTGAAGTAGCAGGTGAGCCCTTTGCTACTTCCAATGTCAAGTAACTAAACCACACAAAAGTTAAGGTTTTAGATGTAAAAAGTCTTTTTAAAAAGTGGGTTAAAAAAGAAGGACAAACCTGCAGAGTCCTGCCTCTTCTTGCCTCCCCATCATGATCCCAGCCTTTGTTTGCAACTCTGCAAATTCAGTACATAAATGGCCAGCCAAAGATTAGAGCCAACAGGATCAGATTTCATAGGATGCTCTGGTACCTAAGGAATGATGGAAGTGTGAGGCAAGATACAGAAAGGAATTTAAACCTCATTGAAAAAGTACAAGAAAGAAGATCTTCTGCCTGAAAACACAGTGTGAAAAAAGAGGATACACAGATTTTTGTTCATATATACATGCTCCATTAAAATTACACTCATTGAAATACATCATTAAAAATTACCCCAAAAGTTCAAGATTCCTTAGCTAATGATGATTCTACCTCACAAACTGCAGGCACTAAAAAACTGCACAATTTCCATTGAGCTGTGCCCAAGAAGTCACTGTGACAATATACATGTAATATTTTAAGCACAGTATTCCATAACAGAATCTTTTAAAAAAATGTCTTCTGCTGTTTCCACTGCTTGTATTTCATAAAAGGCTAAGCAGGACTCCTAGCTGTGTGTACAGATACTGAAGCCCAGGACTGTGGCCAAAGCATGGATTTCTTCTTCTGTCTTATGATGTTTTGATCAGTACCTGGACCTATTATTTTTCTGTGTTACTTACTAGTGATCAAATCCCGCAACACAGGGACAGAAGAGACCTTTGACCTGTTGTTTACAACAATTTTTCATAAGCTATTTAATGAAAGCATGATATCACATCTCTAATGCAGGATTTCCAGAGTGCACTGATGCCTTTCAGCATTCCACCTGTGGCGCCTAGGCTCTCGGGGTGATGCTTTAGCTGTTACTGGGGACAGTGCTGCTAAGGCTGCCACATTTCACCTGCTTTGTAAGTGAATTTCATAGAGACACAGAATCACAGAGGTCTTCTGTTCTAACTCCCTGCTCAAAGCATTTTTTTATTTCAATTTGTGCCTGTTTCCTCTTATCCTTTCACTGGGTACTACTCATGAGAGTCTGACTGTTATTTGTTGCTATGTCTTTTTATTGTGTTTTGTGTCATAATACGACATAATATGTCACAATGTTATGATGTATTAGACATATTGCAATCTTTCATGTCATATTATTATGTCTTTGTTATATTCCCCCTTCAGGTATTTCTCTGCACTGATAAGCCTCACCCACTTATTTACACAATTTGTTTGCTTTCTCTCTATGGCCTTGGTGGTTTCCTCAATGCTGGCCCTAACTCCAGCATGCATTTGACCTTAAGGCCCACGCTTACTCCTTAAAGTTCCTTGAATGCTTTAATGCTTCATGGAACAGCAGTACTGTCCTTACAAATACATTGCAAGACCAAGTTTCAGGAATGACATGGTGTCTAAGAAAACATTGTTTTAGTTAATTTTTTTCTGCTCACACTGAAGCCCATATGCAGAAAAGTAAACTGTCTTCTCATTTTGGCAAGTCCTGTAAGAAAGTTCTGTGGGAAGGAAAAAACAAGAGGTGGAATATAGATGCCACTTTATCATAATTTCAAGCACTTGGCCCTGGGAAGCAATCCAACCCATGTGACATATTGTTCAGATGCTCTGTACAATCACTGCAGAGTAATCAAGTTCAGACACTTCCCCCTCTCCTCTGACATGCCCCTGTGCACTGTGCACTCTGTGTGCACCCCAGCAGCAGCGCAGTCTGCTTGGGTGTGTTGCTTATTTCCTTCACAGACAACATACAGAAGAAGTTATGCCCCTTCATCCATTTGGAATCATGTCCACAGAGCCTCCTTCAAGGACAGGTGCCAGGAAGAACACAGCTGAAACTTACACAGTTACTGTCCTTGAAAGTACAGGAGTTAGAGGCTGTGTTTTCAAGATCTGTGTAGTCCGCAGACTGAACCTCATGTCAGAAAAGAGCTTTAACCAGCTGGGCAGGACCCTCTGGGGAACATGCTCACGGCTGATCTTTGGAAATCACACAGCAACTGAAATCTGTGGGACCAGTAAAACTGGTCAGAGGGACCTCATGACAGCCTGGAAGCTGCGTTGCTTTGCTCATGGCAAAGCAGAACCGATGTTCAGGTGTTGCTTTCTGCATCAGACTCCCTACTGTGGGATAAAAGATTGCTTCTTTTCTGCCACTGACATGATGTCCTGTTCTGCAAACACATCAATCTTTTAAAAACTGACAGCAGCCTCCAATTCCCACCTCCAGCTGTCACTGCTTTGGCTGTGAAGCTTCCTGGCACCGTACTTGAGAGGCTTCTCTGCCTTCTTCTGATCCCAAGAGCTTTATAAACTGCACTGACTCAGTAAACTCAAGCTATTTAAAACTACTGATGCTTGGGTGGTAAATTCAGACACTTAGAAGTTAGGAAATAATAGATCCGTGCAATTGCAGTTTTGTTCTCTTTAAATTAATTTTGTGCTGTTCTATCAACGAGAACATGAGTTATTTGCTTTAATTGTGGGTCTGACATTAAAATCAGCACTACTCTAAGCATGCACAGAGGTTAAATAATTACAGTGGCACGAGCAGTAAAATTATTTCCTTGTCTAATCACCTGTCTTTGTAATCTAATAACAGTGAACCAGTTATTATCCTTCTGCCTTTCCTCTGTCATTCCTCTAATTTCTCACTTCCTTCCTCTCTCCCTCTCTCCCTTCTCATCCATAGTACCTCTCCCCACTAAAATATCAGCAGCATTTGCAGCTCTGAACCTTGTATATTGTATACTGAATTGAGATTAAAGACTGACAGTAACTACCAAGAAGGAAAGCTACACCCTTAAAGCCATGGAGAATTTGCAGAGCCCTGGATCAAGACCAAGGCAGTGTCATTGTAAAGTCTGATCTGATTGTCCTTCTACCATCTGCAAACATCAGAAAACTTCTGTTGTGTTGCTGCTGACACACTGTAATTAGGCAGTAGGGCCACAGACCATATCCATGGTTAGTCTGTCCACTTCATTCTGCTTAGGAGGTGAAGAATGAAAGAAGGATTGGTGTCTCCAGTGTCATTTATTCCTGGAGAAACTAAAATAGGAGCATGTGTGCTGAGTGAAGGAGGTAACCTAAAATATCTCTCTCAAACTCCAGGTTTTTTCTCCTCAAAATACAGTCTGAGTGTCTTTGTTCTACATTAAAATATTTCAATATTTTATGTTTGGAGAAGGAACACATATTCAGTTGACAATATATGATTTTCATCTGTAAAGACATTCCTTAACACTTATTTTCCTGAGTAAATAGGTTAGCTAGTTTGACTTACAATTAAGTACATATAGTTGGACTGTTTGAGCACCTTCCTATCTCAAAATCTGTGGGGATACTACAGGCTAAAACCTAATACCTGTGGGACAGCTTGGAAAAAAACCCATTATTATAACATTATAAAAACCAAATATTGATAAAAAAAATAATGTGGACCTTAAATCCGCTCTTCATTACATTCATTATCTCATTTCTTTCCCAATAGTTTCCATTTGTAGTGTACTAATGAGTCCTTTGTCTTGAGAATTTTTGTTTCTTGTTTGGCTGTCTTTTACAGGTAAAATCTTAACTCAGTTCATGGTGCACATGGCTGTCAGCTTTGTGTGCTCTCCACCAAGCTCACCTGTTTGATTCAACCATCAGAAGTCACTAGGGAGGATCTCATGCCCACTCAGATTCAGTTCTCTCCTCTGCCTGGTAACTTATTTATACAGGGTTGTGCTGGAAAATCATTTTGTATCAAGATGTACATCCTTGTAAATGTGGTCAAAGCAGGCAGGGACATGAACACATAGAGGGGATCACACAAATTTGCTTCCCTAGAAACGGTGGCAAGTTTCCTGTTGCATGTTGGTAGAGAAACAGATGGAAAAAACCATCAGATAGGCTTGGCATTTGATTGCTCCTTAGCTTCCAGGGCTATGGAGTCACACCCAGCAGTGACTCCATGGGCTGCTATTTCCTCTGGGAGGGCTCCTGATGCCAGCTGAAATGCCTCACAGCTATCTGACAATAGGTGTTGAAGTGGTGCAAAATCCTTCTGCCAGTTCAAGTATGCTCAAAAGAGTTTGAAGAACAGTTTTGCCCCTAAAGGCTTTCTTCTCTTTTTTTTTTCCCTTATCAGGTATAATCTGCCCTTGTCCAGATGACTTTAACATTACTGTCCTGAGTAATTCAACAGAAAAACAATCATGAGTTCACAGCAGACCTGAATTAGGGTAGTTAGTGGGCGGTTTTCCACAGTCTTAACCAGAGCAGATCCATGTCCTGAGGTACTCTAAGATGTCTCAGAAGTTACAAGAAACAAATTTTATTTCAAGCTCTTCCAACAGTTGCCACCTTCGGCATGTTGCTGAATCTCTTTGTGTCCCTCTTCTAACTGGAAAAATGGGAATAATATTTACTTTTCCATATAATGAGGTAGGAAGTGTTGCTACATGTACATGTTCAAACAACTCTTAGCTCCTCAGTAATAATTCATATTAATCTGCCCAGGAACATTTTGTTAGTCTCAAGAGTTGCAACGATTTTTGCCTCTGCTGTTAACTGTGTGGGAATAGATCAGGATTAACTCTTCTGAAGTTAATAATAAATCCAGGCTGAGTAAATGCAGAAACACTCCCAGTAATGAAACACCCCAGAGTCACTCTCACAGGAGCTGAACCTTCTTGAGCCATTTTCAGAATCCTTACAAACTCCTGTGACAAAAGATAACTGTTTTGTGTTTTCACTCCTTTGGGAAACTATACAGATCTGACACTGCTGAATCTGACCTCTTTCCCAAGTGGGAGTTTAATTTTCTGACCTGGAGAACAGTTAGGTTTCCAATCTGGGTGTTTCACTCCCATGCACAGACACTTGAATCTCATTAAAGAACATGTAATCTACAGTAAGCAATGTGAATAATAAATGTTACACAGTGAGTTCAGACAAGGCCAGAAAATTACAGTGAAAATTAATTTATTCATTTTAATTAATTTATTATTAATGGGCTTTTATATTTTCCCCAATGAGTTCTGGAACCTGTGTCCTGGGGTGCATCAGGCACAGCATCACCAGCCAGGCAACACAGGGGATTGTCCTGCTCTGCCCTGAGCTGGAGTGGCCTCACCTTGAATATTGTGGGCAGTGTTGGGCACCACAGCATAACAGTGT